TGACAGGAAAATGTAGAGACTTACCTGTCAGTCTCTTCATTTGCCTGTCAGAGCACTCTGATTGGATGGCTTAAACCCACCAATCAGAGTGTTCTGAGCCTAACTGCAAGGCGGGGCAAGGCTTTTTTGTTTTTTTGTTTGTTTATTTATACAGGTATCTAGCTTATGGTCCCCCCTCATTATTTTTAGGATGGAGGGGTAGGTAGGGGTGATTTTTTTTGTGCGGAGAGGGTGACCAGGGAGCATTAATTTTTTTTTTTTAGGGCCCCCACCCACTGCCCAGGGGAAGGGGCCAGGGGGAGGACAAAAGATCCCCCACTTATTCTAACTTAGGGTGGAGGACAATAGGTCCCCCTTATTCTAAATTTAGAGCCCCCACCCACCGTTCAGGGGTGGGGGCCGGGTCCGGGGGTGGAGGACAGTTGGTCCCCCTATTGTTATTTAGGGCCCCAACCGCCCGCAGGGGTGGGGGCCGAGGGGGAGGACAGTAGGTCCCCCCCTCATTCTTATTTAGGGCCCCCATCCACCACTCAGAGGTGGGGGCTGGGGGGAGGACAGTAGGTCCCCCCCTCATTGTTATTTAGGGCCCCCACCAGCCATGCAGGGGTGGGGGCCGGGGGGAGGACAGTAGGTCCCCCCTCAATCTTATTTAGGGCTGCAACCCACCGTCCAGGGGTGGGGGCCGGGGGGAACTCTAGGTCCCCCCTTCAATCTTATTTAGGGCCCCCACCCCCGCAATGTGGTAGGTTCCGAGGGGGAGGACAGTATTCTTATTCTTATTTAGGGCCCCCACCCACCACTCAGGGGTGGGGGCTGGGGGTGGGAGGACAGTAGGTCCCCCCCTCATTCTTATTTAGGGCCCCCACCAACCGCTCAGTGGTGGGTGCCAGGGGTGGTCCCCCCCTCATTTTTATGTAGGGCCCCCAACCGCCACGCAGGGGTGGGGGCTGGGGGAAGGACAGTAGGTCCCCCTCAATCTTATTTAGGCCCCCCACCCACCATGCAGGCGTGGGGGCCAGGGGGAACTGTAGGTCTCCCCCTCAATCTTATTTAGGGCCCCCACCCCCGCGAAGTGGTAGGGGCTTAGGGTGGGAGGACAGTAGGTCCCCCCTCATTCTTATTTAGGGCCCCCACCTACCACTCAGGGGTGGGGGCTGGGGGTGGGAGGACAGTAGGTCCCCCCTCATTCTTATTTAGGGCCCCCACCCACCGCTCAGGGGTTTGGGCCGAGGGGAGGACAGTAGGTTCCCCCCCTCATTGTTATTTAGGGCCCACATCTGCCCTTTACTAGACATGCCCCTACTCGCGGTATAGCGGTATCACCAAAGGCTCTAGCGCCAAGACATATACAAGGGGCAAGAGTGAGCAGCCCTGAGGCGTACCGTTTGTGATATCTAATGGCTCAGAAGTGAAGCCCCCATAGAGTATTTTGGCTGAGGGTGCATTGTATAGCACTTTGACTGCAGAGAGGAACGTGTCTGGAAATATGTATTTTCCAGCTCAGACGATCAAATGCCTTTTCGGTGCATAGGGACAACATGATCCCTTTGGTCCTATGTTTTTGCATGGATTACATGATATCCAGCACTTTCCTCATCTTGTCAGTCCCTTGTCTACCCTTCACAAAGCCAGATTGGTCATGGTGGATCAGCATCTGAAGTGTTTCTGACATCCTAATAGCTAATATTTTTGTGAATAGTTTGGCGTCCAAATTCAGTATGGAAATAGGTCTGAAATTTTTACAATGAGTTGGGGGTTTGCCGGGATTAGGGAGTGTAATTACTGCGGCAATCATATCTCAAGGTAATTTAGTGTGGGTAATCGCATTATTGAATTGGCGGAGCAAGTATGGGACCAAGTGCTTTAGGTATTTTTTGTAGTAGATATTGGATAGGCCATCTGGGCCTGGTGTTTTGTTGGTGGGGAGTTGCCGTATAACTGCCTCGATCTCCTCCAGGGCTATCGGCTTGCCAATAAGTCATTTTGTTCGGGCATGAGTGTGGATGTGTGGAATTGGTCTAGATGTGCTAAGGATTTATCTACCGTAGCGTGGTATTGACCCGGATCTCTTTGTATGTTATAGAGCTTCTTGCAGAAGGAAGCAAATTCATTGCTAATGGCTTTAAGTGATCCAAGTTTTTTGTTTGTATCAGACAGGAGGTGTGGGATTCTGGACTTTGCCTGCATTTCTTTCAATGTGTTCGCTAGCATTTTCCCCAATCTGTTGTACTGGGTGTAGTGCAAGAGCTTTAGTTTTTTTCAATAGGAAACTGGTGTGGTGCAAATTTGCCTATTGGATTTTCTTTTGGGTTCGCATTATTTGGTTTCTAATGTACGTGGTGGAGAGTATTTGGTTTGGTGTGTTTAGGTCTCGGTGCTTTTCATTCCATTTTATAAATTTGGATTGAGAAGCTCTTTTAATGTGTGTGGCTCATTTTATAAGTTGACCTCTTACGACCACCTTATGGGCTTTGCCATAGTGTATCTGTGGACGTGTCCGGTCTGTCATTTGTGATGAAATAGTGCGCTATGTCTGTCGCCATGGTCGAGGAAAATTGGGGGTCTTGGAGGAGGGATTCATTCAATCACCAAGGTAGTTTGTGTTTGAAAGCAAATTTGTCTCCTAACTGGGGCGTGGTCTGACTATTTAATGTCACCTATCACACAGTCAGTGAACAGAGTGAGATGTGCCCAATGCATATAGAATCTGTCTATCCTCGTGTAACAGTTATGTACGGAGGAGTAGTATGTGTGTAATTTGTCTAAGGGGTTTTGTGTCCTCCAGGCATTGTATAGGTTATGGGAGTTGAAGGGGGCCTTTAGTTGTTTAGCTAGTTTCTGTAGTGTTTTGAGTCTCGCTGGGGTTTTGTCAGACATGGAATCTAGTGTGGGGTCTTGAACACAATTGAAGTCGCCCCCCAGAATGAGTACGCCCTGTTGGACTTTTTCTAACTTGAACAGTACATAGGCTATGAAGCCCTCTGGTTGTCGTTAGGGGCATATACATTGGCTATGGTGTAGATGTTCTCGTTGATTCGGGCTACTATTATTAAAAAATGTCCCTGAGGGTCAGAAACTTTTTTGATAAGGTAAAAGGCGAGTTGGTTGCTAAGCAGTGTAGATAGGCCTTTTGACTTAGTGTCCAAAGTGGCATGAAACTGGTTGGGGAATTTTTTTACATTAAACCTGCAAGGATCAGATTTGCGAAAGTGGGTCTCCTGCAGGCACACTATGTCACCTTGGAGTTTTTGGAGTTCCCTGTAGAGTGCATGACGTTTTGAGGGGGAGTTCAACCCTCTAACATTATGGGACACTATACGCATAATATGTTGTTTGATCTGCGTGTGAGGAATCCTCTCACCTGGCGATATCCCTAACCCCCCTCCCTGCACCTGCCCCCGCACGAGCAAAGAGGAAAGTGGAAAAGAAAGAAAAGGATGAAAAGATAGATTTATAGAGACAGTAGCAGTAGAGAACTGCAACTGTAAGTGGTGCGTAGCTGTGCTCCTTTGAGCTAGCCGATTTTGCACTCCAGCGAATAAGGTGTGGATTCGGCTGTACTGGGTGTGGCACCCAGTTCCTGTGGGGGTCAAGGCTTACTCTGAAAGCCAAATTGTATGGTCAGCCACATCCCCCACAGGTGGATCTGTACCTTTAACATTGACTGTAACATGTCCCAACTCGATACCCATGTATGGAGAGGTTGTGGGAGAGGAGGGGGCCGAGAGGGATGGCACGTGTACTAAGAGGGGGCTGGGGAGGGGAAGTAGGGAGCGCTACCTCCACCCAGGTTATCGTTACCCCCATATTCAGAGGAATGGTATTTATGTCATCCCATTTGTACGGTGGAGCCCCTTTCTCAAAGGTGGCCCCTGTTGCTAACCAGAGGGTGTAGGCCCAAGGGTGTCTAGGCTACTGTCAAGGGTGTCTAGGCTACTGATCTTGTCTGCCTGGGATCCCCCTAAAAAAGGAGGTGTCTAGCCCTTTGCAGCCTGATTCTCCATGGCCCCACCTCCACCTAGACCACCCACCATAGAGAGTACCATTTACAAGGGGTGCGTTTGTCAGTTGATGTGGAGACAAGTTCGTGCAGTAGGTATTGAGTAGCCCGGTCTGTTTCTCCCCAGTGCAGTATGTACCCGAGTGTCTTTGGGTTGAGACTACGCACTTGTTGGTGTTCTCCTATCAGTGGAATATGGAAAGTCCGACAGCGGGTGAGCAGTGGGCAGTCCCTAGGTGTGCCCGTAGTAGTGTCAAAGTCCCAGGTTCTTTATCCATCTCTGTGTGAGCTATATTCCAGGGTGGTTGTGTGTGGGCTCTGTAATGGGTTTCAAGGTTCGTGGGCAGTGGCATCAGATCTGGTCATCTCCTCAAAGTCTTGGAATCCTTGGAGCTCAGTGGGGTTATAAGTGATCTTAGCCCTTAAGCTGTGAGAGGGAGCAGAATGTTCAGGGATCAGAGAGTGGTGATTAACAATAGGTAACTATTTACAAGTGACTGTAATGGGGAAGTTTAACATCTTGGTCTCTTCCCATCCGGTCTGAGCAGATAGAGCTCAGTCAATGTTACAGGCATAGCCACCGGTTGGATGTCACAGGTCTGTAGGAGCAGCAGGCCTTCCTCTGGGGTTAGTATGGAGGTCGTCTTCCCATTTCGGGTGATCAATAAGTGGATGGGGAACCCTCATTTTTATGGGATTTGGTGCTTCCCATACCGCTGTTACTGGGTTAAAGTTTCTCCTTGCTTGTAGTGTAGCTGGGGAGATATCAGCGAATATTTGCACCTCTCTGTATACAGCTGCTAATGACTTAGGGCTTCTACTTGCTCTAAGTATCTCCTCTTTGATGTGGTGGTAGTAGGCCCACAGGAGTACGTCCCTTGGGGCTGAAATTGGAGCTGTGCGTGCCTTAGCTACTCTGGGGATGCGGTCCAGGAGGAGCATTGCTACATTCACGTCTGGACAGAGGGCTTGGAAGAGTCCTGTTGCAAACGCCTGTAGGTCACTCACCGCCACTGTTTCCCCTGAGTCTGAGGTTATTCCGGTGAGATCTATCTTCAAAATCCGTGAGCTTGGCATCGTTGGAAGACAAATGCTTTTCCAACTGCTGGGCCCTGATGGCAAGAGAGCCATGTGAGGACACCTGTTGTTCAAGCTTCGTTTCCAGATGGGCTGTTCGGTCTCCGATATCGCAGATTTCCTGTTTTATCTCTGTCAGTGAGGATTGAAACTGGGTGAGTAATTGCTTGGATTGGGCATACAGCATTTTTTGCAGAATGGTTGGTGTGAAATAACCTTCACCATCTTGAGAGGGAGGCAGGAGAGAACAGGATTCTTGGCTGTCTCTGGACTCGAGGTCACTATCTTGGAGGCCTGCTTGGAGCGTGGGCTGCTTGTTTTGGTGCTTGGATGTAAAAAAAGATGCCTGGTCCCCTTTTCCTTTGTGGTGAGACATCGTTCTTCGTGAGAGCACTCGAGTTGTGTGGGTGAGTATCAAGTTGTGCACTGTTGTTTTGGCCCACCTGCTTCGGAGCTGCGGTTTCACATGGCCATCATGGTCAGCGTTCAGCTCCGCCCCCGTTTGGCTCAGTTTCAAATCATAATGATAACAGAAATCACCCAAATGGCCCTGATCAAAGTTTACATACCCTTTAATGTTTGGCCTTGTTACAGACACACAAGGTGGCACAGAGGTTAAAATTACAATTAAAGGTTAATTTCTCACACCTGTGGCTTTTTAAATTGCAAGTAGTGTATGTGTATAAATAGTCAATGATTTTGTTAGCTCTCATGTAAATGCAGTGAGAAGGCTAAATACTGAGCCAAGAGGAGCAGAAAAGAAATGTTACAAGACCTGTGTATCAAGGTAATTGAACTTTATAAAGATGGAAAATGATAAAAAAAGATATCCAAAGCTTTGAAAATGCCAGTCAGTACTGTTCAATCGCGTATTAAGAAGTAGAACATTTGGGGATCTATTGATACAAAGCCAAGGTCAGGTAGGCCAAGAAATATTTTAGCCACAACTGCCAAACGAATTGTTATGGATACAAAGAAAAACCCACAGGTAACCTTAGGAGAAATACAGAGTGCTCTGGAAAAAAAAGTGGTTGTGTCAGGCAGCACAATACAACAATATATGACCTGCATGGTTGAGTTGACAGAAAGAAGGTTTACTTAATATCATTGAGCCACTCTGGGGAAATCTCAAACATGCAGTTCATGCAAGACGACCAAAGACTTTGCATGACCTGAAGGCATTTTGCCAAGACCAGAGAAGACCAGCGAAACTGCTATGTTTACATTGCAGGGTTAATCCAACCTCTAGTGGCTGTCTTCCTGACAGCCGCTAGAGGCGCTATTGTGACACTGGATGGGAAATTTGCATCCAGCGTGCAGAACTTCCATAGGAAAGCATTGAGAAATGCTTTCCTATGGACTGTTTGAATGTGCGCGCTCTGCGCATTCCGCTCCACTCGGGAGCTGACATCGTCGGGGGAGGAGGGGTCACCAGCGCCAGAGCCGCGAGCTGGATAAAGGTAAGTGGCTGAAGGGGATTTAACCCCTTCAGCGCCACGGGTGGGTGGGGGTGGGGGGCCTGAAGGGGCGGGGGTTCCAAAGGATGATATAGTGTCAGGAAAATTAGTTTGTTTTCCTTCCACTAGAGTGATCCTTTAAGCACAAGCAGTACTTATGGCTGTGCCGGTGATCTGCAGGTCAACTGTCAATTGTCAATAAAAGATAATAAAAAAATATATTAAAAAAATTAAGGGCTGAAATGTTAATCTAAATAAGATCACTCACTGCCTTATCAGTTAAGAATAGGAAAAAAATAAACGCTGGATTGATTATTACCACATAAATATAGTCTTAGTAAGAAAATAAATTACTTTCAATAGATCATAACATATCTAAAGGCAAAGAAAATATTGTTTTTAGTGTTTCAAATATCAATTCAATGTAGAACATGGAAATACAGCACTATCAGACCTCAATATGAACATTGTGACCTTAGAATCAGAATTGTTCCAGTATCGGATTTAGGCTTAACTGTTAAAATAATTGTTTTGTTTAACTTGAAAAGAAAAAGAAAGAAAAGTTCATGATTTATTGATCTGTTGTTCTTTCTGGTTTGAAGTTGGTGGTTTGATACCAACTGTCTAAGCATAGATTGATTGCTTTGCAGAATACAGGTTCATTTATTTATTTAAAAAAAAAAAAAAAAACAGAACAAAAAAAACACTTTTTTTTGCACAGCTGGCTTGCTTATAATAACGTATTTATCCATTAAGTGTTTTCTACAATCTGTCCATATTTAATGTGTGACTTGCTGCCATAAGTAATACATTAAAATATACATTTTAACTAAAAATTAACTATATAAAAATAATCTTTATTGCATAGCTATTTAATATATTAATTTATGAAATTGCAAGTTTAAATCAAAATAAAGTTTTAAAATAACTTCTTTAACCCCTTCAGGATGGAGTCAATAGTACACGTTCTGATCAAAACTAAATGGCTACTAAAAATGGCTGGACATACCCCATTTGCAATACCTTGGGTTGTCTACTTTTGCAAACGGTATTCAATCATGGGGGTAATTCTCATTCCTGGGCTACCATGCGGTCTCAAAGGCAACATTACCAAACTGGCAAATTTGATTGTGAAAGAAATGAAATGCAAGCCTTATATTTACATAGTTACATAGTTATATAGCTGAAAAGAGACTTGAGTCCATCAAGTTCCGCCTTCTTTGCATTTTTTTTTTTGCTGTTGATCCAAAAGAAGGCAAAAAAAACCAGTGTGAAGCACTTCCAATTTTGCAACAAGCTAGGGAAAAAATTCCTTCTTGACCCCAGAATGGCAGTCAGATTTATCCTTGGATCAAGCAGTTATTACCCTACATTGAAAGATTATATCCTTGAATATTCTGTTTTTGCAAGTAGCTGTTTGAATATCTGTATGGACTCTGATAAAACCACTTCTTCAGGCAGAGAATTCCACATCCTTATTGTTCTTATAGTAAAAAAACCTTTTCTTTGACTTAGACAAAATCCCTCTGCAGCAAAGTAATATCTTGCTCACATTGTATTATTTTACAGAGTTTGGTGTCATCTGCAAACACTGAAATATGACTTTCAATGCTTTTTTCAAGATCATTTATAAACATGTTAAATAGAAGGGGTCCCAGAACAGAATCCTGAGGGACACCACTTGCCACATCTGTCCGGCCTGAAAATGTACCATTAATGACAACTCTTTGTCTATTTTTAAGCCAATGTTCTACTCAAGAGCAAGCATTTTCATCTAGACCGATTTCCTTGAGCTTGTGTGGAACTGCATCAAATGCCTTTGCAAAATCCAAATAGATCACATCCACTGCAACACCCTGATCTATACTTCTACTTACTTCTTCATAGAACGCAATCAAGTTAGTTTGACATGACCTGTGCTTCATAAAACCATGCTGATTTTTGCTGATAACCATGTTCTTCTCAAGGAATTCTTGAATATTATCCCTTAATAACCTTTCAAATATTTTCCCAGCCACAGAAGTTAAGCTCACAGGTCTATAATTTCCAGGCAAGGATTTTGAACCCTTTTTGAATATAGGGACCACACCTGCCTTCCTCCAATCCTCTGGAACACTTCATGAAAGAAAATAATCTTGAAAGATTAAAAACAGAGGTTCACTTATTTCTACACTTAGTTCCTTAAGTACTCATGGATGGATAGCATCCGGCCTTGGAGCTTTGTTTATATTAAATTTCTTTAGTTGCTGCAGCACCTTGTCTTGAGTTAACCAATTACAATAATTCTGCAAGTTTTTAGTAGCAATCATTTGCATCATCTTGACTCTCTCACTTTCCAAAACACCATGAAACCTGTACATGGGGGGTACGTTTATACATGGAAGACTTCACTGAACACAAGCATAAGTGTTTCCAAACAGTAAAACATATTGCAACAATAATATCATCAGTAAAAATGCCGTTTGTGTGTGAAAAATGCAAAAAAACTTAACTTTTACTGAACATATCATCGTTGTAATACAATTTATCATTTTGAAACACTATTATTTGTGTTCAGCCAAGTCTCCCGAGTAAAACAGTACCCACCATGTACAGGTTTTATGGTGTCTTGGAAAGTTACAGGGTTAAATGTAATGCTTGTGAATTAAATTCTCTGCACTTTCTGTCTGGGTTGTCAAGCATGTCAATCAAATTTTAATTAATTAAATCACATAATTATGTTAAAAGATTACTTAAATATACACATAGAATTTTAATTTATATACATATACGCTCCTGTTTTTAAGGTTCTATTGCCTACCTTTAAAGGCAAAGAAGCTGTTGTGTTTAGAGCCTATATCCTCATGAAAGGCTCTCTCAAATGTGAGTTTTATTCTCCTCACTTATTTGATATATTTTCAAACGCATCAGACAATACTACTCTATATATGTTTTTTTCTGTTTATTTTCACATATACACCCCATATACACTGTGAGGGGTAAGTGTATCACAATTTATAATACTGTTTTAGCGCTGCACTTACATCCAGCTGTGTTTGAGGTCTTTTGCACTTTGTTCACTACTTGATACTGTTTTTTGTACGGTTTATATTTATAGTGTCTTGTGGAGTATTCACTAAAAGTGCACATAGCAGCTATATTTTATATAATTCACACCAAATAATATTTTAAGTGCCTTTTTATCCACATCCACCTCTGTGTGTTTTTTCTTGTTAAGTTTTATACTCCGTATTGGGTGTGGAGGCAGCTATCACTATGACTTTGTTTGAAAAAAGGAGGAACTATTGCACTAACATTGATGATGTGTTTGGTACATCTTCCATGATTTCCAGCTCTCATAATCAGGAAATAAACATTTATGAATCCCAAAAGAAATTAACTAGAGCAATGAATCAAGAAATACGTATAATATGGGAGGTAGCGACTCTAGAGAAATATATCAAAGAAAACATTACACCTCAGGGACTTAGATTTAACAAATACCCCACTTTTGATAAAGGAGAGGAGGATTTCATGGAAGAATGGAATGAAATGCTAGAGTCTCTCAATTACAACTATGAATATGATTATTAAAAGGAGAAAAATTACTCTAGAAAAATTAGATCAGGAAATTAATACAACTCAAAATGTATTGTTAAATCACACAACGGCAGATGAATATGAGGAAATTACCAAGAATGTTCAAAAACAAATAGAAAGAACTGAAAAGGAAACAATAGAAATAAAAAAGAAAAAATATAAAAGAGATAAATTTGACTATGAGAATAATCAGGTACGGTCATATTACCAAAACAGATCTAATTATAGGGAGCAACAATATAATAAACCTACCAATAAATATAGAGAGAAACCCAATTATATCAACACATATGGTAATGAAGCAGATAAAAGAACACCATTGAGAGGGAGGAAAAATTCC